ATTCTGTGAGCAATGTCTTAGAAAATAGCCAAGATGCAACAATCGTGATATTTAAAAATTAGTAACTTAGTTTTACTGTTCTTGGCATCATTCTATTCTTTTGGCTGTTTAATGATGGTCTGTGTGCAGATGTTGAAACGAGATGCATCTGTAGGCCTTGTTTGTATCATTATTCATTATATTTTTCTCGTTCTGTCCTCCACTGTTGAACAAGCTCTTCCCAGTAATAAAAAAATTCACCAGTAGGGAAAGTTTGGGTCACCGTCATTCCAAATATAGATTCGTGCATCATCCTTGTGAAATTAACATGAGGTAATGACTAAAAGCCCAGTCAGTAGAAAGTGTAGCCATGTGTAACTAAATCTCTTAATGTATCCAAATATCTAAAACTTTGGAGTCAGCAAGGGCTGAGCCTCCACTCTACGATTCCTCGGGGGTCTGACTGCATGACGCTTTCTGACAGGCTAAGCGAGAGATTCCCAGGTGATGCCATGTATAAATGAAGAGCTGTGGCAACATGGGTCTGAGCTGTCTGCTCACATTTTCTGTTTACGTCCTCCTCTTGTGGAGGTGAGGACACATAAATCAGTGAAATGTTCAAATCTCCCCGGTCACTTCGTAGAGGGAACCCTCAGAACATGAAAACTGTCGTATGCACATGTATGACTGCTACCAACTGCAAGTATTTGTCTTTTTGGTGGACCAAACCTCCTCTGGAACTTAAGATTGAAGGGAAAACCATGACAAATATTCATTTGCCGTCATCCTGCTCTGGAGGAAGTGGATGCAGTACTAATGGTCACTCTCCAGGGCCTCCTACAGGGAGGAAAGCATAAAATCATATTAATCTGAACAGTTGGCTGCTCCCTGTGGGCCGGCTGCTCACAGATGGTGGATAGTTGTGTGTGGTGTGTTGAACTTCTCTCAAGTTGACCCAAATTAACTTTCAGTCTTCACTTTGCTTTTTCCAGGGATCATCAGGCCTGTCCTACATGATTATAAAGAATTACGTGCTAATGAGTGGTTCTGCAAATAAAACAAGTCTCATACAAAGATACCACGGTACTGAAACTGATCATCCCTTCAATCCCTTCAGAGAGGATCTTCCTCATTAAAGCCAGTAAACAAAAAAAATAAATTTACATTATGTCTGAGGAGAAGCTGCCCCATTTGTGTTACATTGAAATATATTTTGTTGGAACAACTTGACGGCTATAATCTCGTGTAGTCTCTTTTTCTATATGTAAGTATCTGCATATATGCTTATGTACTCTACATGTTTTCCTTTCCAGCTGTTCCAAAAACAGATTATGAAGCTTAAAAATAAGGTGTTTTACAACCTGCCAGTTGTAATACAGGCCCTCTTCCTGCTTGTTCTGGTCTAGTCTTGTTGACCTTCAAAGAAAGTTGCTGTAGAGAAGGAATGATGGAACCACTTCTGCTTCTGACCTTTAAGTGGCGCATCATCTTTGAACAGTAAGTGATATCAATGGTTTTGTGCTGCCGTGATGTGCCAGGTTCATATGGCGCCACATCCTCCAGGCATGGAAGCTGGAAACTGTGCTTCACCTCCAAAACACATCCCTGTGTCCAGGAATCATTGGGGAAAAGCAGCAGAGGGTGGTCGACCAGCTGCAGATAACAAGCTATTAAACAGCCTGCTCGCCTTTATTAGAGTCCCCTGGTCGTTTCAGCCAGCCATGATGGAGAGCTGTGTAAAACCGATGGTAAAAGTAAGCGGGCAATCTCCCGCTCTGTGTTACTGAATGCATTACATCTCTGGCACTTGCATTAAAGTAACATGTGACAATTACAGGCTCAAGAGGGTTCTGAGCTGACGTCCTCCTTCGAAAGACTGAAAATCTCATCCCCTAATAAGAAAATGAAATGTATTTCAGCAAAACAGCAGACTGACAAGTCCAAAGTCTATTTTCACTATTCAAAAAGCTGCATAGAGTGAATATAGAATTGGATTTTGTATGCGTTCTTGTGGTTTTGAGTTTCTGTCTATATATGTGAAAATAAACAATGAATCTCCTCCATCTGGAAAGTGCATATTGAAGCAAACAGCGACTGTCTGGAGATTGACTGAGCAAATATTATGTCTACAAACTGGCGTATGCAAGTGAAAACAGCAGACATGGACGTCCAGCTTCAAGACGAACAATAAAATGCTGGCAGTATAGGAAGAATATAAGAAGAGACGGTAATCTAAACTTAATACTGAGTGTTCCTCTCACATATAGATTTTTTTTTTTTTGTGCTTGATGCAAACAGCACAGTTCGTGAAAATGATGACGCAGGCAACAAAGAAACTCAAACTCTCACAGTAAATAACATGGACATAGATGGTTACTCCATAAAAAAATATATGTAAAAGACTTTAAAAATTTTATTTTTCTAATATTCATTATAAACGCTTTTGATTTTGCAATCACAGGTGTTAAAGGAAAATAACTTGAACTGCTTGTCAGCTGTGTTGAACAGAAACATGTGTAAACCTAAGATTCTATTTTCTGATTTCCTGTAAATGTGCATGCGTCTTGCGTATTGGTTCTTCCAGGGCTAGGGTTAGGGTTAGAAGCCGAGGTAGATTCTGGATTTGACACATGGACAGACAGAACAGATAGGGGCCCAGATTATTTCTTTGTTTGCTCTTTCTTTTTCCCTTGGGGGGAACTCACTTTCCCAGTTCTTCTGCCCTGTCTGGTTCTGTATTTGCTGCAGCCATGCTTTGCTTCACTTGATCTTGGCAATAAGGTGTTTTGTAAGTTCTGCTGACTTCTAAGCTGTTCTATGGGCTTGAATACTTCAGCATCTGCTCTCCAGTCAGCCTGCATTCCCGCTCTTTCTCCTCTCTTTTATCACCACCTGGTCTCTTTTTCATTAGTTTATCTGCCTCTTCAGCAGCCGTACCGTCTGTCAGATGCAATATGGGTGCTAAGATCAAATGGAAGCTAAATATCAAGTTTTCGAGCTGCATTAGATTTTTAATCAAATGCACCTCTAATTTTAATTTGAATAATTTAAGCTGCAATCTATTTTCTTTTATAGTTTCTTCCTTCATTGCTTTAGGCCAAAGGAGTCCACCTTCTGCAGCAATGATTTATGACTGAAAGTCAGTCATAAATCATTCAGATGGCTCGACTGGTGAATCGCGTATTGACACAAATCTTCCATTTTCGAAGCAGCATGTAACCCTTCCTGAAATGTTTTGAATTTGCTATTGTCCGAAACACATTTCTGCGCTTTACTGCTCTTTTTTTTTGCTTATGTGCCTGCGCCAAACCATTTTCGGGTCCAGCAGCAAAATGAATAACATAAAGCCACTTCATTGGATATTTGCAGGATATGAATTCCGGCGCTCAGGTTTCTTTATGAGAGCGAGCCACTTTATTAAGTGGAAAGCAGAGCCAGAGAGGTAGAATGTTATTTCTTTTTGTGTATACCCACCCACAAAGCTACATTACAAGCATATTCATTTGTCTGAGTTCAGCTTCAGACTTCCTCTGTTCGGAATTTGTTCAGAGCTCTGGAGTGTTTTTTTTTTGGTTGTTTAGAGGTCAGAGCTATGTGCTTGCTTGTTAAAAGGTACAGCTGAACATAGCTCATCATCGCCTCCTCCACTATCATCAAGGTTAATTAAAATTTCCACCATAGCTTCACATTTAAGTCACCTCTGGACATTTTCTGCTAAAAGACTATCTTTCTTTCCTTGCTGTGTGCTCTCTTTAGCTTTTCCCTGCACTCTCCCACGAGGGTCCTTTGGTCATCATTAGAACTTTGAAATTCTCAGGGGATAATCAGGGGAATTAGTGGAGTTGAGTTTGCTTGTTGTGTTGCTACACCCCACAGGCACTTTAGTGGTGGTTCCAGTTAATGCATGAAGGGAGAGTCGTTCTCACTGTGTTGTACGTGTCCCCCTCCTGCTATCAGGGGAGCTTAATGGGTTGTTCCACATCTTTGTCTAATTAGTTTTAGAGTGTTCATTAGACTTAGCAGATTTGGTAAACTCGTGGACACCTTGTGGTGGCCTGCTTCACCCAAGTGCAACGATATCTGGGAGATGAATCAGATTTTTCCCTGCTGTAATTAGACCAGTAGTTGAAATCTTATACAGAATGTTGTCCTCAGTGTCTGGACTTCAGAGCCCAGACACATTGTGTCAGTTTGCCTCTGCATTTCCTTTAATCTCCTTCTGAATTGCATATACCACAAGACATCCCTTTTACAGTCACATTTAAGTCTATAAATGGGTTTAAATCAGACATATTTATCTAAAGGGCGGCCACCTCAATACGCGTTAGTAAATACATTTTTCCTCTCAGGCATTTATCACAACCTTGATGGAGAAAAAGAAACATATCTAAAGGCTTATTTAACACATTTTCTCAATCACTTTCTCTCACCCAGCTAGCTATTGGAAATGATTCAGCATTAGTGTGTACGGAGGCTGGTAGACTGGGGACTGTTACTCCCCAACAGCTGGGTGTCACATTCAAATAAAAGTAAATTAGCTGTCACCAAAGCTCGGCTCGGGAGCTGCTGTTCTGCCTCGGAGGGTATCCTTTTTCACTGGGTCTCTGTTCAGTGCCAAGCTGACACAAAACGACAAGTCATTATGGCTGCAAGAAATGAGGAAACACAACATAATTTAAGTCAAACGCTCCCCTTTATCTCAGTGTGAATTACAGCCATGCAAACATATTGATTCACAGCAACGAGAAGATGGAAAAGCTCAATTAATCACCTGCTGTTTGCAGTGATGCTTGAGGGATTAGATGCTTAGTTTGATTCTCTCCTGTTACAGTAAAAGCCGGCTGCCCGCTCATTATCTACAAGCCAGTATGTACTGTGGGCTGGACTCATTACCTGCAGCAAAGCCCAAAGGACAAGGTGGATTGGCAAGATATATATATATTTTAAAAAAAACAGATGACACAGGCTCTCCAGGGATTTTATCACAGTAATCTGTTACATGTATATATATAAATATACCCTTGAGTGGGAAGATGCAAGTCAACAATCATTTGAAAAGCCTGCAAGGTGGATTTTGCGAGACATTGGCGACCCCTGGCGGTCATAATGAGCAACACAGGGGACACAGAGTGCACACTTTTTATTAGAATAGAAGAGAGAGGAAAAAACTAGACGAAACTGAGATGGCACTGTGTATGCTTGTATTTACAGTACATTATACACATTACAAATACGTGTATCTTTACTCTTCTTCACAGTACAACACTGGTGGAGCACAATAATAAAATGACTGCTGCACAAAAAAAAAAAAGAAAAAGAAAAAATCATGAAACCGAAAAACATAAATAAGTCAGGGATAGTACCACGATTCTTTACAAAATGTTACTTTAGCTAACTATTTGTGTAAATGATGTAGTGTTTCAGACAATAAGTGTGAACAACTCATTTAGGTGAAAAAGAAAAACAATACAGCTTCACAATTTGAGTGGCTCTCGTCACAATGTGTAGTGACTCACCCATGATATACATTCTGAAAAAAACTATGACTACATGCATTTTTCTGAAGCATCATATATCAATTTTATGTTTAACATAAATAACTACGCTCACTGACTGATCAAGAATTGATCAAACACATACTGCTTTTCTTTAGACTCTACACTACTGCACTCCCTTCTTCATGGCTTATATTTTACATGACTGACTGCTTATAAAAAGAGTCCAAAGGTGAAGAATGCCCATGCGGTGATTTTCATATTTGTGATCTGTTCAAAGCAATAAAGCTGCTTATTTTGCTCAGTACTGCATACAGAGTTCTAAAATCTTTTTACCCTGATATCGCTAAATATACATTTGATATGTGTCGTTTTCCCTTTAATACCACATTTCCACTGTTTTACTGGATTGTACTGCAGTGGCTTTCATATGAAATCATACATTAGACTTTGTGAAACGTCAATAAAGGTGACCATGCACAATGTCTCTGGCTTTACTTCATCTATATCCACCCCTCGGTCTCATTATACTGATAAAAACACCTTCACAGTTCATGACCTATAAATAAGACTGTATACATTCTGCCATACGGGGGCAGCATGAATCTCCCTGGGTAAGGTTAGGTGTGAGTGTGAGTCTAAGAGGAGGAGTCCTCGTCCACTGGGTGAAGAGCGTGTCTCTTTAGCAGTGTCTTCAGCATCTCCACCTCCCGCTCGGCCTCTTTCAGTTTCTTACGTAGTGTGTCGTTGTTTTTTTGGAGCCTATGGTTTTCCTGCAAAAGAGAAAGCCAGTTTAAACAGAGTGCCTTAAACCTAAGGTGGAGTCCCGTATTCCACATATGCGTAAGAACAGTCCTCCCACTCACTGATTCCAGAGATTCATAGGTGGGTTTGCTCTCTTCTTCTTGCTTCTGAAAAACAGAGGCTCTGTTTTCCCATTTGGCACAGTGTCGTTTTCGCTGGATCAGCGGACTGGGGCACGACGAGAGGGCGGGTGGCACCGGGACTAAAAGACATGGCTGAAGGCAGCTGCTCTCACTGGTGAGAGAGGACAGCTGAAATCCCTCCGTCTGGGTGTAGCTGTGGACTCTTGATGGCCTCAAGCGGGAGGACACTGGGGACTCTGGGCTCCAGTCTTTGCTGTCATCGGGTGGGTAGGGAAAAGGACACTCCTCTGAACCTGACAGGAGGGATATTAATGATAACATTTTCAAATTAGACAAATGGAAAATGATCCTTGACTTTCTACACTGCAGCCATTTATCTCTATAATTAATTAACAAATATCATACAGCACAAATCAGCACAGCCTGTCATAAATAACAAGATAAATGAATCATCTCACAACGGAGGGCTCATTTTTAAACCGGCTGCATAAATATAGCCCACATGTTTTCATGTGCTCTCAAAACAGGTCCCTCCATATTAAGTAAAACTGAAAGTTGCTCTGATCTGAATATGGCTGCTTCTTAGCAGCAGGTGGGTAGCTTGACTATTACTGTAAGTGAAACAGTTCCTAATGACATAGGAGGGAAAATACCCGACTGCCAACCTTACACTCAAGAGATGCTTTTTTTTTTAGCTGCGATCTAAACCTGAATACTGTCATTTAGACTTTTAGCTGCCTCTCCGATGTGGAAGGCAGTGATTACAGGAAGTAACACAGCTTTTCAGAAGGATAAATGACCTGAAGATTCCAGTAGGTGGCACAAGCTAAAGAACATTTGTACAGTTAAGTGTTATTATGAGATGGAGTGAGCGCATCTGCAGGACATAACATGATGAAAATAGTCCATTTGTTATAACTGTGCCATGATTAGTGACGAGTATGTCTGAGTGTAGTCAGGGCTGCTTATTCTGAGAATTGAACCCAGCCCACCCTCTGAGGTGCTCGTGGCGACAGGTGTGGAGCTCGACGTCGGACTGTCGATAGTGTTTGTCCCTCTGGTGTTCTTCTTGCACTCAAACGCAACCTGATCCTTGCACAGCTTGTGGCAGTTCATCCCACAGTCTGCAGGCAAAAAGAATGCACAACAAGTCACAGCAGGAACTAGTCTACCTTCAGCTAACTGATTTCCCACTTCACTTTGAGCACAATCTCTTCTGCAAATGCAGCTTTCAGACCGGTGCAATGCTTACAGTCAGGCAAACAAATACTTCTTAGATCTTGTGAAGGACGGGGGAGGGGAAAAAACTGTGGTTTTTTATGCAAACCTTTTTTTTTTTCCTGTCTTGCATGATTCAGTTAGCAATATGTACAGAAAACCACACTGCACCTCATCTGCTCCCCACAACACAGTGCAGGTACCTCTCCCCATTTCTGAGACAGACACTGAGCCAAAGATAGACACACTTAAACAAGTAAAGAGGAAAATGATTACCCTTGCATCGGTATCCTTGCTTGATGACACCCCACAACTATGAAACAACGCAAAGAGAAAAACCTGTTCAAAACAACCGATTATCACTATAATTTGAAGAAGGTAACAAAGAAGACTGCAATTTGCGTATGTGTGTTCTCTTACAAATCCAGAGCAGTTGTCACAGAAGGTAGGTTTCATGTAAGTGTATTCCTGGAAGTTGTGAACAAATCCAAGTCCCAACTTGGAACAGATGACACTGGCCCGCATGAAATAGGCGGTGATTTCATCTCTGCTGACAAGGCCTTCCCTGCATATGCACGAGGTATAAGCTTCACACTTAAGTACAATAAAAAACAGAGTTGTGAATTATGCCATATTCAGGCAAAAAATGTATGTAAATACATATATAAATATTCATGAATTTCCAGATCATCCGTCCTTTGTGTGAAAGACTATCTACCGCTTTTCTATTGTGTAATGAGAAAACACATCATGGTGCTGGTTTTCAGGGTACTTAAGGGTGGTTTATGACTTGTTCTGCAGCTATTTTATATTTCCTGTTGCTGCACACAGCACTACAAATACCACTTTGGCTTCCTCTTCTCTGAAGTCGCATATGAGCTAAACACAAGTGTGCGTGACCTCTCAAATACCCACTTCTTTTTGTCCATGACACAGAAGGAGAAAGGGAAGCTTGCAGCAATTTTCTCAAAGTCCTCTTGAGAGATGAATCCGTTTTCGTCAAGATCGTAGTTCTTAAACACGGACTGTAGAAGACAAGAAGCAAAGATCGCTGTAACCCATTTCTTAGTGAACAATAGCTGCAAGACCAGACTGTCAAAGAGACCGTGTGCATAATAACAGCTAAAATAGCTGATTATGGTTATGTAACAGCATATTAGAAAGGCGAGGTGAAAAGAGAAAGCACTTACGTCTACCATTCTCTGGACATGTTTGCTGATGGTTCGCGGGTCAGGTTTAGGAGCCACTACCCCTGAAGCCCAGTCAACACAAACTGGAGGTCTGGAGGGGGTGGCTGGCTGATACAGAATTCATTTACCGTAAAAAAAAAAAAGAATATCAGAAATGATCTGGGCACAGGTAAATTATCATCATATTTGTCATGTTTCTTATTTTGCCAAGAGCTCGGTAAGAAATACATGGATGGATGGAAGGGCCTGCTAGCTTAGGCTCCTTAAAAATACACAAGTTTTTGAGATAATTCGAAAGTGCGACTGCTTAGCTTCTGAAGGTGACTCTACAGACAAGCTGAAATATAATAAATTCATTTTTAATTCATGGAGAGTCTTCGTTTGACAGAGAGTTATGGCTCTATTCTCAGCCCGTCGGTTAACTTGAGGTGTTCTGTTTTTTATTACTTACAGGTGCTTTACAGTTCTTGGGTTCCCGTGCATAAGACAGCTCGTAAATTTCATCCTCAGTGTAGTAAAGGTCCAAGGACAGCTGTAAAAGAGAATTAAATCAGCACATGGGAGGTAAACAAACCGAGTGAGCTCTTTATATACAAAGATTTCTCCTTGAAACATGTTTTGATGAGGGCAAATTCTGGTTGCAGGACAACTATTATCTCTCAGGGTCGGTCTGTCACTCAAGTATGATTAAAACTCAGTCCACAGACACCACAACAATACACCAATCTGAACCCTGTTTCATTCGCATTCAGTTTGTCACCCACACACTCATAGATCATAGACCCTCATCTACCCACACAAGATAATCCGCATGCTCTAACATGCTCACCGGCATCTGAGTGTACGTTCACCACTTCATGAATTGGATACAATCACACAATCATTTGAAAAGAATAATGAATGTACGGAGTGTCTGTGAAGGATTACCGTCAGCAGATGAACCAGGTCCTTGTTTGCGTCCACCCCGGATGGGATCTGCTGGAGCTGGATCAGCTCGTTGATATGGCTGTAAAGTGCCTGGAGCTTCTGGACGTTCACCTTGTTGTCCTCCACATAGTCTGGCATGGCCTCATTGACCGATATCAGGTCTTTGAGATGGACGCCGAGGATGGGGATTTTGAAACCTGAACATCTGTTGTAGGTTTGTCTGTAGTTGTCAAAGTTTCTGCGGGAGGACAGCAGGTCTGTCATCTCGTTCAGTACCTGTGGAACAAATTGCATTTCATGTCAATGAGAGCTTTATGCTATGTGGTTAGCAGAAGAACCCACGTTGACTCATTTTTTGTGGTGAAGAAATGCCTTGATGCTCTCATACTGTACATCTCTTTACCTGCGTATCTCTTATCTTCTGTCTACTTTGGCACAGAATGCACTGGATCATTCTTTATGGAAACAAAGCAGACAATACCATCTGATAGTTCCTTCTGATCGTAGGTTTACGTAGTACAGCAGGATATTAACTGGGTTTCGCTGTGGCGTATTTGAGGGCACGATGTTAAATGAACTAACTTAACAATCGAAAAATATTTTCATCAAATTAAATGACCAACTTTTCATCCCCCAGCTATGTTTATTTAATATGCCTGCCAGAACATGACAAGAATGAACGGGCGCCGTATCTTTTGCCTTTTGTAGATCAGTTTATGTAGAAACATTTGATAAATTAGTGAAGAGGAAGTAAATTAAATATTCATTTTGGTGACTTACTAGTAATTCAGAACAATTAATATTAGAAAGACTGTAACAGTGTGCTTTTACATGACTGACCACATCGCATACCCTCTTGCTATGAGCCACAAAGAAAAAATAATGACTCATCCCCTGATCTAGTAATGGTCTCAGCCTCAGCATCCCTAAAATAATTTTCAGTGGCAACCACACCCACTGTTTACCAAAAACTGCTGAGAGGCAGAGGTACGGTGGATAAGCAACTGAGGTACAACAAACTATAAATAGGGAGTTCCAGGCAGTCAGGAGCTCAAAAATTCCCTTTCGCGTAGACCTTGGCCTTAGTAACTTTGTATATGTTTTGGATTAACAGTTAAGCAATATAACAACGAAAACTACCTTAAAAGCGTGATCATAGTCCTTTTTGAGCATTACCTTGGTGACCTCACTGGATACGTGTGAGGTAGTGTCTTTCAGTCTGGAAATTGAGCTGTGACACAGTCCTCCCACCACCGCCATTAGTGTGTTGTAGTTGTGTATACGGTGAAGACACTGTTAGACACCAAAAAAACCCAGTGACATGTTCAGTTCATGGACACATCAGAGACACACAATCAAACTTATTCCACTCTTATTCCTGATTTTATAAGTCACATCACTGATGTTATGTAAGCTATACACACACTGTGGCCTTTTTATTTCTGCGTTCTTATAGCTCTCGCTTTTGTAAGTGCTATCCGCCCTTTTCTCAGTTCTTTAATTCATGCTGTCACTGGAGCATTATGGTGTGAAATTCGTTTCCACACCCGTGGGTTCTGAGGTCGGCAGCAGTGAGCAGCACAGTCTGGTGCATTAATGTTAGAGTGCAAGAGGTCCCCCAGAGTACCAACCCGCCTAACGGCTCCCTAAAGCCAGCGGATCACTGCTCAGCAGGCTGCATGTGAACCAACTGGGTGGATTTTAACAAGCTAGATCTGATCACTGACTCAACCCAAAAGCAACTTTTCTTTTCTCCGATTTCACATGCCCATAGTGTTAAAGTAGGTCCCACAAAATGAATGCGCTACCTTACGTTAAATGAATATTTAATGTAATCGTTAAAATCGTATGGATATGCTGATGGCCGGCAGCTGAGCTCCTGAAAATCACTGCTACCTCTCTGTGAATGATCATTATGCAACTGTGAATTATGCAGCATCGGTAGTGTTTCCAGTGGGACATTTTCACACTGTCATTAGTTAGAAAAGTCATGCTGACAACAGCACGTAGATACAAGCAAGAGGAAATGTGCTTAAAAAAGGAAGAACAGAAACTGTCAGGGTTGTAGCGGGGGTTAGGTTAACCTCTACCTGTGCAACGTGGATAAACTTTGTGAAAACCTCCGCTCTCAGCTGAGCTGTGGGCCGGCTCAACACCATCAGCTGAACCCACTGAGAGATCCCATTGCACAGGGTGATGGAGCGCTCCAGCACGGGGATGTCCTTCATGCAGCAGCTTCGAATGTATTTCTGATAGTCCAAAAACTGACAGAGAGAGGAGCATAAGCCTCTACATCCCAGATGAAATACAACACTCAATAAAAGAGAAAGTGAAAGTGATGACCGACATGAACCACGAGGGGATTTGACGTTGACATGAGTTCATTTACTCACTGATATTCTGCAAAACGATTTAAACTCCAGGTAGGTGAGGTGGTCGGCTAACTCAATGGGCTCCAGGTGATCAAAAAGAAGAGAGACCTTCCTCTTCTTACTGTAATTAGCATGGATCCTCTGGCTGGCCTTCCACGACCAATCGCGTTCAGTTCTAGAACACCCCAAGGAACATTTTCTGAGCACATCAGAAAGCCTCCAGACAATGGTAACCTTATGAACTGGAAATGTGCAATTTAGACTTGGAAGGCATTAGGCTAATTTAATGTATGTAAGTATTTCTGAAAAGCCTCAATTAATTGTTCTACAAACAAGACAAGCACATTCAGAGTTTACTGCCTGGAACATACAGAAGATAAAAATAATAATAATAATAATTATTATTATCATTAAAAGAACTTCCAACTGATTTTACAACATTTTCATTTGAGTTTTCTTTTCTTGAGTGATCAGCTGTCCTGAACAGTGACGGGGAAGTGGAATTTTGATGAAACTGTGCTCTTCTTGATTTCAGTTCTTCTCATAACCGAAACAAACCGACTGACAGACATGTGTGCCTCATGTCTCAGTATGCCAGCTTGTCAGAAATTAACACTTACATCCATTTGGTCTCTAAGAGAGAGCAGAGATGTTCTTGTCCTTGCTCTCTGATCATTTCCCGGAACTCGTCCAGGCTGTCAGACAAGCTGTGGTGTAACCGGAACATGATCCAGAATTCTTGAATCCAATGCCTAGAGTTTAGAAATCATAACACCATGACCGATGCAGAGAACACACATTTCATTTAACACTGTAACATAAGCCACCTGCTTGACTTACCTGATGAGGTAACATATCCTCTGGCACTGTAATGGCTGCTCATTGTCCATCGCTGTTTTAAATGTATCAGAAAGTCAAGGAAGTGACCAAATGCTATTGTTGGCTAGTTTGAAGTTTGCTTTCAACATTCTAAAATTTAAACCTGAGACTCCTGTCTGAACTTCCATATGCCTTTGTTTACCGTAGCACAGTGGGTAGATTCTGAGTAAATAATGAGCATATGGTTAATTTGAATGCAGATTCTTTTAGATAAAAGAAAAAAACAACTCATTAGTAAAATCTGCAGCATCCAAACCAAAAGGCAAACACAAGTGACATTTGGTCATGTAGGAGGACGCGACTGGATGAGGCAAAACTCTGATGAGCATCACTGAATGAATCATTCTGGCATACAGAGGTAGTGAATCACAAAATGCACAAAGAAAACACACAATTATTATCTAAAACACCACAGAACAATTGCTTATGCGCATTGTTTAGTGGAAGGGCTCTAAAGATGTTTTAATAAGTGTTGTCTACCCACAGTCACACTTAAAAACGCTTCTCCTTGAATTCATGCACAGCGCAGACAAAGCATTTCCGCATCACACAAAAGCGCTTTTATAAATAGACTGACAGCATGGTTCTCAACGAGAAGTCAGATTGAAGTGATAGAAAAAAGTTGATTGCGTCATGGGAACAGAAGAACAACCCACACAATCCCAAGGCCAGACTGTGATGACAGCTGTTAATGGCCCCTGTGTCTCTTTCTTGATCCAAACCCACTGACTGAATACATTTGAAGCACCCTTTTTGGGGTCATCTTACTAACGGGGGGTTAAGAATAGCAAACACACAAGCACACAAGCCCATCTGACGTGGGCTTGTGTGCACAGTTGTCTCTTTCGGCAGGTCTTTTTTTTAATATGGTTGAAGAGGAATTCTACCTGAGAGAGACAGATGGAATTAACACCTGAAACCAAAGGTGGCTCACTCTGAGGGGCTTTGGGAGTCTGAGGGACTGCTGTTTATTTAATCCAAGTCTAGATTAGAAGTGCTTCACTCTGATCAAAAGACACTACAAAAAACTCTATTTCTTCGGCATTAAATAGGAACAATGAAAGGCACTGCATCAAAGACGTGAATGGAAAAAGAGAGCTGAGTGCGAGGTGAAGGAGAGTTTATGAAATGGATGTAAAAGGACTGAGACTGCCAGCTGGAGTAAACACGAACTGTCACATGCCCATCACATTCTCCTCCGACAGCTTTGGGCTGCACTCCGAGCCAAGTGCAAGCAAGACTGCGCGTTGCTGTTGACGACCAAAGGAAAGCAGCAAACCGCGGGAGCAGAAATCTGATCCCATTTTCCATTTCCTGCTCAGTATCGGCACTGCCTGAATCCTGGAGCTGTACCCTGAGAGCGCCTCCAGCTTCATTTCTTAAAGGATATAGACTTCTGAGTTTGTCCAGCAGGTCACTGGAGGGCATGAGGACATGATGCATGGTCAGAGTGATGTTGAGCAGGTGGCTGCTCCCCTGCACACAACCGTCCCCATCTGCAAAGCAAAACACGTGAAGTTGTAGTCATTGCTTTAAAGTTGAGTGAAAATGCAAGACACCGTGTCAACGATTGGAAAGGATTTCCAATCTTCTGCCAAATGAGGATCTGGCACAAAAATATCCCCAGATTCTAGTGTGATAACTCAATTATCATGACAGCAGTGTTTATATAGCAAGTTATATCACCGGTAAGTTCACTAGAGTGGTTGCTTTGCCAGACCCCAGCACCACTGTAGGTTTGAGTTTAAACCGAATGACCGAGGAGAAGTCATTTATGTGAATGAACAAGCCCATGTAACCCCATACAACATGTTAAATATTCAATTTACAGCTTTTACAGAACCTACGAGCCACATCGCTGTCTTTATGTTCCATCTTTGTTTACCAGCAGTAGTCTTTTCTGTTCAACAGTTTTTAGGGGATAGTAAATCATCATCAAACAGTAGCAGTTTTTGTGGCACATCTAGTATGTGTCATGTTTTTTTCAGTTGTGTAAGACAAAACTTAAAAAAATGCGCCAATGTCGTCTGCTTCCAACTTACTTCCTCTTATTATTGCTAATTTGTTTAGCTATTCTAAAATAGAAACATTTTTGTTTGTCCATTATTAACAGATTAATGACAATAAATGGAATACATGGAACACAGTGAGGGGATTTTATTGAGTTCCATGTAGGTTTTTTACTGCAAAGTAAATCACGCTCTGGCAAATTCTGCATACCTGCAAGTGCAGGAAAAGTGCATCTCAAGGCCGACGTCAAAGCCATTTGTGGAATACCACTAATGTGAAAAACATGTTATCTCTAACAGAGGTATTTCCATCAGTGGACAGGAGCTGGTGAGGTTAAGTGCAACAACTCATACACACACATTTATTCATACCATCCACAGACCCTGCCGCAGAAGATTTACCTTTTCCTCTGATTGTGTGAACCTCTGAGACTCACTTGTCTCGCTACCTTTTTCATTTCCTCTTTCCTTGCGTGTTTGTAACTTCCTCTCTTTGTGACCAGACCACCTTCCCTTATCTGGATTGTGTGACTCTTTGCTACAACTGGCATCTTGAGACGCATGCTGAGAAAGCATTCCAAATCAACCGTTTCATAAGTTTAGACAACATGTGTGCAAAGCATTACAATGCCGTGATCTGACCATCAACTGCCTAAACACATTTCACTGTTCAGAGAAAGAAGCATGTAAAAAAAAATAAAAACAGTCAGTGAATTAGAATTAGCCATAAACTGGAGAAACTTAATCACACATTTAAGTCAAATACAAACACAGTCTGCACAACCTGAACACGCTGTGCTGCAAATTTTATGAACAGCTTTTGTGAATAAAAGCTTTGCCAGTATCTTGACACCATCAAGGACATCAGGCATCTGTGGATCCACTTTTAAACCAAATCACCTTGGAAATACTTCGGGCACCATGGCAACATGGTTTCTTATCTTTGCTATCTGTATGCAACTAACCACTCCTGCTTCAGCTGACTAATCCATCCCGCCATATCCTATATCGTGTTTTTCTGTTAATGACAGTCAGTCACGTCCATCTAAACCATGTGAACGACGATGACCTCACCAGTAAAGTCACTGAGGAAGCAGAGTGACGAATGAAACAATGCTTAACGGTACCAAAAGAAAACACAGCTGCGGTGCAGTTTAGACACGCAGGCCTAGGCTACATTGCTCTCACAAGGAAACAAAAGTGTTAGCTTGTTTTGATTTAATGATCAATTCATGTTCGTTCCACAGTTTTGAATGATCCACAGTCAGTCCTGCAGTGGATGCACAACAGGAAGTCATGTCTTTTCATCAGGAAAACAATTGCCCCATCCATCTTTTCACAACATTCCAACCACTAACACTCCCTGTGCAGGGTTAATTACGGGAGGAAATCCCCCTCCGGACTGACTCTTAGTGACTGGAACATTAGGAAAGTTGCCGCCCAGCAGCTCACTGGAGCAGCTTGATGTTGGATGGTGATAAACACTGCAGAGGGCAGACTTCACCTGGCCTGCTCTCACGGTTATCTTAACCATTCATCAGCCACTCAAAACCAGGGTGTCACTTTTCCTTGTTTTCAAAGAGACTATCAGACCCGATTATCCTTTTGTTTTGTTTTCCTCCGAGTCAGATGCAGGATGATGTCTTTGTACTCTGAGCTAAATCCGTTGTGACCTGGGCTTAGAACGGCTACATGAATAACACAGTGCTACAAAGTGACTTTCTGTATAACAAACACATAGCTAAAAGAACCAAAACATGGTGACAACAAACAATCAACTTACATAGGAAGAACAAACAACCAGAACCATTAAATTAAGGTAAAAGCAAAAGGAATACCATTAATTCATAGTTATTTCTAGCAGTTCTGAACAAACATATTAAATCGAATACAATTTCTTGTACAAAAGAGTTTACTTAAATTGCTTAAATACAAGTGAATGTTTAAAAAAAGTTTGAATGTGTGCTGAAAGAATTTAGCGCATCACAGCTATTCAAAATGTATGAAAGCTAAATGTTTTTAAAAAAAAAAGGAATGGCTTAGTTATTTTAGTTGATATACAAAATAACTAAGCAATGTTTGAAATGATGCATTTATTATAACCGATGAGGTGCGATTGAGTATAGTCAATGAACAAATTAGTCATATTGTTTCTAATTTGCAAAACGATAAAGACATAAACGAATCAAACTGCCTTAAATGAGTGGTAGCTGGAAATGAGCAAAAACCAACAGGTGTATGGCAGAAACTGTTATCTTACAGTAGCATGTAGCCTCTGCCACTCAGGCACCAACGCAAGCAAAGAATGAAATCTGACACAGTATTTACTATTACATTTCCAAAACACTATTTACATAAATCCATCTGAAATGAAAACATCATTTAGTGAGTGCAATGTTATAATTAACGGCACTGCACAAAATAATAATGATAACGAACAAACACTAGAGGATTTTTAAAGTCTCTACAGTACATCGTTTCCACCATACATACAACAAGCAAGTTTCTTTAATTCTTTTGACTATCAAGTAAATGAAAGATTTTGATTATTATTAAAGAAGCCCTGTGAGCGTGCAGTGCAGTAAGGTCTGGAGAGAGTAATGATGTCAGCTATTGATCTATACCTCATAGTTCCCTGTATTTCAAAGGTTAGTCGGTATCTGGGGGCTACTGTTCAGGGAGGTGACCTTTCAGCCTGGCCGGGGCTTGAAGCTGCCATCAGCTAATCTTTCAAATAGCTCTTACGTACACTCTCACATTTGAAAAGGTAGCTGGACTGGCGGACTGCAGGGGTTCGCTTGTGATGTGAGCCCAGAGGAACAGGACTGCCATTTTATCAGGATGGGCGCGCTCAAACTAAATCCCAGTCATGACGCTGACCTGACAGATAGCATCTTGTACCCTCATGTTTTGCATTCAGTAGTGCAACAGAAAAATTATTTTGCATATATTGTTCAGTTTCCGGGCTTCCCTCACTCTTCTCCTGATAGATTTTACTTCCTTAATGAGCCTGAAATGAAAGGCTTTCAGTCATTAGAGCCCCACTTCTGCCCCTCAACAGATAAATGTAGTTATGAGATGTCATTTTATGTTCAGGCTATTGTAACACTTCTCCACTGATTTTGCTGCATTTGTGTAACCAGGCAACAGCAGTTTGAAAGCTGTCTCTTTAGAGACGCAATCACCATAACTCTGAGAGCACTCCAGACAACTTGACAGAGCCAATGATCTTTGTTTGCCAGATCCAACTGCAGCCTACACGACCACTGCAGTGCTTTTTTTCATTGAAATAAACCCTCTGAATAGGACCATCTTTCAAGTGACACTGTCAGAAAATGTCTCATTTTCAAATGTATGTTTTTTTTTCAGCCCTCGCCTAATGCAACACTTTACACTGATTTAATCAGTAGAACATATCTCAAGCTAACCAAAAATCAAATCCGACCTCTACTTTTAAATACTGAGCAACCATTCATTTGTTAGAAACCCGTCCAAACATGCTTCAGCTGAATGCCGGCAAAACGAAGGGGAATAAGCTTCCCAGCCATATCTAAAACTTGCCTTCAAAGAGAGAATTAAACAAATTGTAGATTTCACTGCGATACAGGCTCGAACCACAAACATTTCCCCTCATAGTGCATAGCCCAGTAAAGGTCAGCAGCTTACCAAAGGTCTGCAGACAGGCCTCCATCAGCTCATCCCAGCTTGCACCCTTGGTGAGGTGTCCCAGGGACATTATTGATTTAACCGGGTTGGTCTGTGCTGGAGTGGGTTTGTGGAACCGGTGAGGCCGGGCGGGAGAAGAAACTCTGGACTTGCTAGAGGCGCATCCTGATGTCACCCTCCTTAGAGAGAGACCGACACAAGAACAGTGAGGTGGCGACAGAGAAGATGCAGTTGTGGAAATCAGATGTGCCTTTCACTCTTATCAATGAACGTTGTGTGTGAGTGGATGCAGTGTCTCTCTTTAAGCACATAATGACATTAAGTTATTATTGTTTTTGACATATTCAGTTTCATATGTTCATCAGACCATTTGCCATCTAGTCATAAAAGTATTACATTTCATAATTATCAAGCCCAGACACGTTAGATTTTCCCAACGATTCAAAATCCCTTTTTCTGACTGCTATTGACCTGTTTAAACTGTTGCGTGAAAAGTGGACAATGATTGAGTCCCCAGTTAACGTGTGTCGGCTCGGGAGATAACAGTCCAGGCGGACAACCTGTGCGCGCTTTGCGCGTAAAACACACACGATGAGCCCGAAGTCAGTTAGGATTTTTGGCTAAAATTCCAACACACCTGCTTATTTCCCAGGGCTAACTTAAATGCGATTACTAAAGCAATCAAAAACTATTTTGACCAAGTACGCCCACGTACCAATAACGCCAGAGACACCTCCGTGGAACCGTAGAAAGGTTAAGAGACTTACGCTTCGTCTTTTCGCTTTTCCTCCGACGTCACACTTTCGTTTTGGTTCTCTTTAGATTGGCATCCCATGGCGAGGTATTGGGCGACGAGCGGCTGAACTAGGCTGTCCATCTGTGTCCTCCTCGATGGGAGCATTACATCGCTCTGGCCGGCTCCGTGCGCCTCCGCGGTCTCAGCAGCATTGTGCCGACTGCTCAGCGAGCATTTCACAATCAAAACTCATCCAGTCTGTGGGTGAGTGGGCGGCCGCCCTGCTGTCGGGTATGTCACTCACTCCCTCCGGCTCCACGTTTCACTGGTCGTTTTTTTATTTTGAGTCAGATGACTTTACAAGTTGTAGGTATACTTTCCAACTTAAGAAAGCCCACACATTTCTGTTGTCCCGCTTTAGACATAAAAGATTGTCAAAGAAACCTGGGTTCTGGAACAGGGGCGGAACTTATGGGCAGGGGGGCAGGGGGGTTGGGGGGTTGGGGGGGGGGGGGGGGGGGGGTAGACTTGGTTCCACAAACCAGTGAGTGATCCAGTGTATTCCACTACTTATGTTTTGCCATATTACATTTAATTCCATCTTGTTAAACTTGCCTTTCTGTTATCTGTTAAAGATTATTTTTCTTAGGTCATCTTCATCGTCACCATTAATGTTTTATAGATTTGGCTCTGGCTTTAAATCCCCTCACATAAACATTTCATTGAACATTGTTGATGTTTTTCTTTGGCAGATTGGGAGCTTTTTTCACTGAATGGAGTCATTGGGTTCACTGCTGAGATTCTATTCCTTCCTGTTAAGCAACAGGAGGTGACAGATAACCTGCTGATCTTAATGGCTCGTTGTCCATTTGTTATCCCACCAACATTGGAAATTTAGGTACTTGGTCGTGATTATGACAGTACATGTCTATACTGAATTCAGAAAAAAATAGTCTTCATGGTAAGATATGAAGAAATTACTGACAATTAGTGACGCATGGAAAATAAAAAGACATCAGAGAGCCCAGTCCCCTCCTCATCTCTTTGTTTTCCTCCAATTGTTCAACAGAATCCTCCAAAATAGCAGCAACAAATATTTTTCATAACTATGTTGCTATTTTTAATGAGCACTTAATTTATCACTTCTCTAAACCAGGACATGACTATGAAATAATCTTTACTCATTTGCTACTTGTTGTTTTTTCAGATCGGTTTTCAGTCTTCACCTTTTGTCCATGGACTAATACAACACAAACATTACTTTTCACTAAAGATTGGTTAGAAAGCAGGGTAAAAAAAAGCAGTAGTTTGGTTCTATTTGATGGAAGTTCTTTTGAGGATTTTGTGTTCATTCTAATTGTGTACCCTCAATATTTGAAATCAAAGGTTCCCCCTATGCCTCGTGGTATTTGATATGAATAAATTGTGGAAAAATCTTCTTGATGTAATTCTTCCTTTAATTTGCTAAGCCTTTTGTTTCTGGAGCGCAGGAAAGGGTGGATCTTCCTTTAAAGATAAAAGAGGTTCCGTTACAGCTCAAACCGCAATCACTGTGTTGTAGGTGGTCCATAGAAGATGTTTCCTGAAGTCTTTCAGCTGTTTTGAGAGGCCGTTGAGTGTTATCACATTCAGTTGAGATTAAGACTTCAAGCAGATATTATGGAAAGGATGGCAAAAATTTATAGATATTTCCCTAAGGCTCATGTGATATTCCAAATGTTGAAACAAAAGAAAATTAGATGGATCCAGACTTTGTTTAAAAGCAAAATTAGTCATCTTCTGAATGATGATATTGAAAATCTATTTATCTGAGTTATTATCTTAAATTAAGAGGCTTTTTTTTGTTGATACATACTCTGATACTTAAAATCTGGATAATCACATTGACCATGTAAGATCCCATTTACAACATGAGAAAAATGCTGATTATTCTAATTGTAGAATGTCGGCTGTGCCCTTTTAACTTAAATTAAACCAAGTATGTTTAGGAGGTCTATAAAACAAAAAGTACAGACCAAGCACACAGTAAATCTTAACAATGGTCTAAACTGTCTGGCATCCCAGAATATCCTCCTATTTCTACAGTGTCTTAATGTATTATGTCTTCAGTTAATTCATTTCCTCTAAAATGATGTCACAGGAGCCTGTGTAGGCTTTTACTTGCAATAAGACCTTTGTACGTCTGTTCTAATTTGCAAGGATCCGTGGTGTCATTAGGGGGTCCCTTTTTAGCATCCAAATCAAATCAATCCTGTTGTTTTTTTATTCCCAGTAATATGAAAATGAACTGTTTAAAACAGTGAGACTTTAATCACCTATAATGATCTCTATTTTGCCTCTTTACCAATAACAAATAGAATATGCATATATGTCATATTTACTTCTCTGTGGATGTACTGCACACCAGTAAAGAATATGAATGATCAAATATATAGAAAAAATATAGATGTATTTAGATAAAATAGATAGTGGCCTTTCAGTACTTGAGCTGAGGGCACCATCTGGTGGATATAATGGGTTAAATGGGAATGTCAAGCCTAAAGAGTAGAACAATGTTGGACAAAGGCTAATTTATTTAATTTTCTTTTCATATTGTCCTCCATGTTTTGAACAGAAGATGGTGTGGACTTCCCAGACGTAGCACATCCATGAATCAGCATTTCAAACACGTGTCTTTTGATCAGTACTCAATTGAAAGTTGTTGTCTGCCATTCTCTTTGCTTTCATTAGGGGGCATTACTGATATAAGGTTTCCAATTAGTGTTACTTCACTTGTTTTCTGTCACAGCAGTAGAGTGGAGTACCCTCAGGTATAACCAGGTTCCCTCCTAAATTAAAATTTTTAAAGACATCCTGAACATCACCATACTTTCCTCACTGAATCAAGATAGCTATACTTTAACCTGGAATAGTTCAAAGCAAAAACATTCTTGTACGTCCACAGATGTAAATGTCCTGAAATCACATGATAAATACATATGCAAATAGTTTATTTGTACATGTCCTCGTTAAAAGTTTAAGTGTTGATCGCTATAACCAGCAATTACGAAAAACGAAGTGCTTGTGAACGCATCATTACTGCCGCGCTCGTGCTGCTAACAAGCTAGCTTCATGTCAGAGCGAGGACGGCTAACGAGTCAGATTAGCCTGCCAATTCTCAGTGAAAGTACATAATATTTTATTTTTGAAATGTTGGCGGACGACGCACAATTCATGTCTATCCTGAAAGGAAAACGCATCAAACTGACACTGAAGAATTCGTCGTATTTCGGAGTGGTGCAACGTATCAATCCGAACAAAACGTTGGTTTTGGCGGACGGTCAGGCATTTATTTCCATTTTAGTAACTATTTACTTTTTATGTCTTACATATCAGTAAAAAAATCAAAGAAAATTTTTTTCTGTTAAATGTGTTGCAGTAAGTGATGGTAATGGACGCAAATGTCCCGGAACTAAGATATTCTTTGGCCACGAGATTTTGAATGGTGAGTCCGTTAAGTCTTTGCAGATAGGTTTGTTGTCTGGGAGTTTTTCTGATGTACGTGTTTTTACCTATAAAATCAACAGTTGAATTTCCTGATGACGCCAGTGCTGAATGTGGGTAAGGCGATTCGCTTTTTTAAATCCAAAAGTGTTGCCTCCATAAATCAAATTAATTTTAAAAATGTCCCATAGAAATGAGACTGAGGACGGACTTGAGGAGCAGTTGAACTTGGAAAAGTTTCAATCATGCATAAAAGCAACTACACTTTGTGAGTTAAACCTAGATGTAAAGTGGATTTCCATTAAATGTACATTCAAACTAATAGCTCAGTTTGCTTTGAAAAATTAATTCACCTTTAAGCTGTTCCTTTCCAACAGCTGATGATGAAGAGCAGGAGGATTCCATTAACTTTGTGGTGGTTGATGAGTTCTATGAGAAGTTTGGGCCGGCGGTAGGTTCTTATAGCTTGCTCTATGTTGCAGAAACCACTTGGATGTGTTGGTCTTTGGTCATTGTGAAATAATAAGTCCCAGTTGCTTTAGGTGATGCACATCAAAAGGCAGCATGTGATCGGCGTGGGAGCTGAGGGAGTTGGGATATTTCAGAATGGAAGACTCTGTTGGCTACAGGTTCCTATTTGCGACTGTTACATCTCTTTTTCTTACCTGATTTTAAAAATTATGAAGGTGATAAAGAAAATAACCTGCATTCTGTCTCTGTAGATTGCTACTAAAAACAAGGTGTACTTATTTGACATCCTGTTACTTGGAGGTCGGGCATTTAAGAACGGTCTCTCCATGATTTTGGAAAGTAAGCACATACTGAAGGTGAGCAAACACATTTTTCTTCTGCTTACTCAAAGTGATAATAATTGCTATCAGAGCTTCTCTGTGAGGACTTTGCGTTTCTTCCAGGTGATTCATGACTGCAGAGCCATCGCTGGAAGTCTTGTTGCTCAGTTTGGAGTAAAGTTAACCAACGTCTTTGACACTCAGGTAGATGTGTTGCACGTGCAGTCACCTCCTTTACAAAGCAGCGCTCTGGACTCCTAAGGCTTTCTTTGTTGTCTGTATCTTTTAAGGTGGCAGATGCAATGTGCTTCTACTCGGAGACGGGGGGTTTCCTTCCTGACCGAGTCAGCACTCTGCAGGAGGTGGTAAGCCTCCATCTGAAGGTGCCATTCTCGAGGCTTTCATCTCTTCAGATGAAGCCACATATCACCAAGGTACATCACTCAGTCGCATCTAAACTGGTTTTTAAAAAACTTTTCCATAGGGTTTCCACATGGTGCAGCCAGAGCTGCTCTGACAAATGCAGAAAATGGAAATGCAAACAAGGCTTTTAAATAGCTTGTGCAGATCAGAATAAGATATGTATATAGAAATGGATTTTCCGTCAGATCATTGGAGCTCTAATTAGTGGTGTGTTTTACAGGAAGAGCAGGAAATATGGTACAAGCGGCCCTGTCCCGTACCCTTGCTGAAGGCCTTGGTTTTGTCCGTGATACACCTGCAGCCTCTCAGACTGCGGCTGCTGGACGGGCTCATGAGTGACTACATGGGTCTGGTGGATTCGTACCTCAACAGCAGCCACTACCAGCCTGATGAACTGGCGCATGTCAGTATGGTGAGTCATTCAGAAACTGCATGTTTAAATTTTAGGTTTAAAAATCTGCCTTTATATTAGAAGTGTTGTCTTTTCCAGCCCGTAGTTAGTTGAAATGGATTTAGAGCATTTTGCCTTTATTGGAAATGAAGACAAAATGCAAACATGGACTTTTTTTCCATTAATCTTCGTCTTAATGAGTTCCATGAGCAATGGCTGGGCAATAAAAACAATCTCAATGTTTAATTTGGATTAAATGCATGTTGATCTCTTTGGAAAGCCCACTACAGGAACAAATAGTCTTTCCTTATTCGCAATCAAATGGTGCATCAGTCGAGGTCAACAGTTGTGCTCATTTATTATCACAAATACGGTTTGAGTTTGCAAGCTTGGAAAAGACTAAATGGATTAGGGCAAGATTTTTTTTTTCTTTTTTTCTTTTTAAGAAATACTGAGCAAAAGCTAAATACAGGGCCAGTTTGACCTTGCCGAATTAGCTGTTGTGATTGACCATCATTTAGCTGGCTTGGATGTCCTATGGAAAAAACAACCAAAAATAAACATCTGTACTAAATGTAACATGGGATGAATTATGGCGGTATTGAGCTCGGTAGGTGGGCCTCATGTCTTACCTGCCTACGTCCACAGCAGGGTGTGTTGGAGTTGCCTGTGGAGCTCCGGCAGCTGGAAGACTTCCGTCATGAGCGGCGGGAGTGGGCCACCAGCCACTTCCCGGTCACAGCCCGGGGTCAGCTGGAGCGCTTCAACCCACACCCTGAGCCCCCACCCCGGACCTCTGCTGCCGCAGGAAACCCCGGTGAGACTGAGCCTGGCTGCTGTGAACCTGCCACAGACCATCCCCCTTCACCCCCACAAATGGAGCCTCTTATTCACCCTACCAGTGTCCCCACTTCTCCTGCCCAGGATGTCCACCCCTCTTCTAAGCCCCGAGCCCCGTCTACAGCATCTGCAGTGTCACACCTTCAGGAAGAAGTGTTTGACAAAGGGAATGTCCCTACAGGTGTAGATGGAGGATGCAGAGATTCACAAATAAACATCTTAGGAGGAGGGAGATCACTCAGGCGCGAGCAATCATCTCGCCAGGTTTTACCCTCTATGGGAAGAGGTTTCCTTCTCCATCTACCTCCACCTCAGATTCCAGGAGAACCTGCTGATCTCAAAGCTCCCTTTGCACAGGAAGCTCCCCCCACCGGTCACACACTCTGCAAAGAGACCGAACCCCACTCTGGCTGCCGAGATGATGAGCTTTCCAAAGACGTTTGTAGTTTGAGAGGAGAACATTTGACTCAACTTCCTCAGTCCGCCTCATCCTCCCTGAGCAGATCTTTCAGGTCTTTTAGATGTTAAAGGAAACACCTCAAGGCTTACGAGGACATGCTGTTTGTCTTTTTTGTTTTAGTGACCAGTAGATGGCAGTAAATATTCTCTTTTTCACCACTTTAATTTCAGCAATAGTTTTTAAGAAAAGTATTTTGATTCATGAGAAGATGGATGTCACTCTTTACACTTTGGGCCAGTTGAGTTTGGATCAAATGTATTCCTGTATGTTCCTTTGTTTTGCTTCTTGTTAAAGCAACAGTTAATTGCTATTTGAACATCTATAATTAAAAAAGAGTTATCAGCTGAGAATCTGACAAACAACAAATGGCAAGTGTTGATTGCAGTGTGACAGTTTGTTTGGATAGTGTGTTCCAAATTGATGGGAAATAGAAGCTTTGGCCTGTGGAAGACTAAATAAAAACAGCCAACCATCCACTGAAGCACAGAGCTGTAAGCTGAAATGATGGATCACCTGTACAGATTGGTTTTTCTGCTGTTCTTCATCAGTTATGAGGAGCAGGAACAAACTGATGGATCAACTGTCACTTGAGGACGAACATTGTTAGACAACTCCTCCGAGATGAGGCCGCCTGAACAGTAAAGCTCACTGTCCAGTCCAGATGCACGCCGTCGCTGGTTGTGAGCACCTGTCCACTTGCATGCGGGGGGGGTTGGGTCTTGTTCAGGCTACTTGCTGTTTGAGGTGCTGTTCAGATTCTTCCAGAGGGACTCCCCACGATCGCTTTAGCCCGGCGCCATCACACGTGGACGAGCCATGAAGGTGGCAGCAGGGTGGTGCTGCGGGCCCCCCCGTCCGGCATAATGGCATGTTATTGGTACGTTCACGTGCAGAGGCTTGGGCCTTTTCCAGAGCTTTTTAATTGAAAGCATGAAACAGATAATGGAGGATTTTAATTAACTGGGAGGTAGCCAAGCACAAAAGCCTTGTTCCCCCTTTGTAGCAACCAGCTCCCCCTCGGCTTCTGTTAAACACAAGCAGGGCGGAGCCCACCCATATGCCTCTCTTAAGCCTCAGAAGCTCTGCGAAGAGACGTCTTAATGCTGATTCACCGCGTGTTGCTGAGCTGCTTCACTGGAAGTTTGCGCTAGCCTGCAGAGCACAGGGGATTTATCACAGGAGTTTCTACCCCTCCAACAAGAAAAACGGGGGCTTGGTTTAAAAATATCTTTGTCATTTAACAGTGAAGTTGTTTAGAAGGGGTGATGTTTGTGTGTGTGTGTGTCGGGGGGGGGGGGAGGATACGGGTCTCTGTGGGGCCATGGAGGACAGGCTCCTGTCATTGACCACCAGATTGGTGCTCTTATTTTAGAGGACCTTGCATTTCCTCTCCGTCACAATAATGCCTTATGTGCTCCACTTCCTGTTTCTCAGGCCTGAGAGGAAGGAACTCTGCGCTTGTCACACGGTAGTCACCATTTCCTCCCTCCCTTCCACCTCCCCCCCTCCTGCAGCACTCTCAACCCCCAAACTTCAGACAGTGTTATGTCCTTCAGAGGGGAAAGATGTCTGCACCTTCAGCATCATAGCAGGATGTGTCCGCGCTATATTTAGACTCAAGTCGGAAAGGTAGAGCACAGACATAAACACAAACTTTAGGATGTCCAGCTGTGTTGTTTCAGCATTTGAAAAACGCAGGCCTGATATCGTAAGACCAATTATTGTTTTGACTAAGCGGGAGGCTTAAGGCACAATAGAAAAAGGTTGCATATGAAAAACTAAGACTAGTTTTAAAAGTTTATGTCTTAAAGTAGAGGTGTTCTTTGTTTTTTTAATGTGTTTTTTTGTTTTTTTTTTGTTTTGTGCCATTATTCAAATGCATCCAATCATCTCGCAGTAGAAATGAGCCCACAGGATTACTGATCACCTGTGCTTGGGGCACCCTTCTGCCACAGGGCCTCCCAGCCCACTGCCTCACAACCACAAAGCTTCACGGCCCGTAGAGCAAGCCTAGGCAGCCCTCTTTGCTCTCGATCCGTGTTGGGCTGCGGATTTGTTCATAATTAATAGGCTTGCATTAAAAATTGAAAACGGGGATAATTTACTGAAAACCACTCCCCTTAAACAGCGCCTCGTTAGAACCGACACGCTGTTAGCTGGTTTGCGCCCCTAAGCGCATCATTAAAATTCATTGTGGAGTTTTCGCTGACCAAGTGCACGTTCAGGTCACGCTGCGTTACCGAAGTGGTGCTGAGGAGGCCGAAACCCGGCTGCCGACGGACTGTTTAATCAGCAGGAGTCGCCTAATTGCTCGGGAGCCTTTTTAAAATGGTCCCCATGGCTGAGTCCTGCTGTTTTTCGGCCTGCCGCTCCCTCTGGGAGCTGGATTCGCCTGAGGTGGCAGACCAGTCCACAAGCGGCCTGTGTGATCCAGAACAAGATCTGCTGGCCTCATCTGAGGAGTGAGGCTCAAAGAGAAACAGGCCGCAACAATAGCCGCGCTACGACAAATTACACGCGTGTCGACAAAATATTACCACCTGAATTATTCACGTCGCCACATGTAATTCCTTATAGCGAGGCAGGAATATAATTCCGTATCGGGTTGCTTGAACTGTTTACCGGCCGTCCATCTTCCATCTGTTGGTAAAAGCCTGTTGTTGAACTTTGCTCCCACCCCCCCCTTTCATTTGCTCACATTACAACATGACCCTCTTTTGATCTCCTCACATCACATTCAACTGGAAAATGAATAGTTAATGTGGGAAAGCGCAACTCGTCCCGATGGCCACTCAAGTGGGGCAAAAATGAGAACAAAACACGACATCAATATTTCAACCGGCCACGCCAGCATGCATCCCTGCGGTCAGGAAGTCTTACACAGGAAGACCCCTCGCACATTTATTCGGACATAGCAGATGCAGGCACGCTATATGGATCTTTATGAACTGCTGTGCCATGTTTACTCAGGCAGCATGGAGCATCGGGACCTGGAGGGCCTCTCCAAAGGAATTAGCCGTGTTTTGACCTTCAGCTGTAACAGGCCGGCACAGACAGAGGATGAGTGACAGGTGATGGAACAGATGGGAATGTTGGAATGTCAGCCATCAGTCGGCCCAAACGCCCAATTTAGAGCAGTTTCTTTAAATTCATGAACTCTATTTCTTACGATGCTTTTTATGACATCTAGAAGTCTCAATGCAGTTAGATAATAACAAAAAGACACTTATGAATGAAATTGCAGAGACAAAAATTAACCTCAAATAAATTCTTAGCTCAAACCAGCTAGAAAAGACTTTCTGAAACACACAAATGACTGGGGTTTGAAGATTGCTTTGATTTAGTTTTGGAAACTGGGCCGCTCTACATTTCGGTATCTTCTCCGCTATTTCATGCAGTGAAATAAGTTTTGTGGGTTGCTAACCTTCAGCAGAACACTTTCACCGTCCCGTCTTTGTAGAAAAGGGGCTATTCTTCCGCCCACGACCTTAATTAACTACAGAACCGCTGTTGGATCACAGGGGCCTCTCAGCTGTCACTTTACCAACCACTGAGCAACCATCCCATTCACAGAAACTCAAAAAAAAAAAAGAAAAAGTCTGCAAGTTATGGCTGATCTCAGCTGGGTCAGGATAGTGCACTTTTTTTTGTACTGCCGGTTGTGAGAGAAAGGCCCTTGTCACCTAGAAGAAAAGAGGCTTCTTTAAAGGTGCAGTTAGAATATTGACAACCCCCTCAGCCACCAATGTCTTCTGTTGAAAAGATAAGCTATTGGGTTTTGGCAACTTCCTCATAATTAAAGCCTTCATTGTGTCGCGTGTGGGTGTGCACACAGATGAGGAGTGATTGCAGTCACAAGCTGTGAAGGCCTGGAAGGAGAAGGGGTGGAGCAGGCTCCCTGTGGCTGGCTGAATTAGTGCCCAATGGCTTGGCCTGGCAGCTGCTCTGTGAACCTGGCACCCAAACAGCCAGGCGCTGTGGCGTGGTGTTGCCAGGGCCAACCAGCAGACAGTTAGGGAGATGGCAACACCAGACCAACTCTTTCACCGCACATGCTTTGTCTTACAACCGGCGTGATGTGCCGGTGTTGTTTATTACACCAGTGTGGTTGGATTAATATAAGATTAAGTCCATTAATTAAAAGGAGGAAATTTAGTCAATTCAATTAGGGGGGAATGCGAAGGCCGCCCCTAAGTTGGTTTAGCGATGATGAAAAATGGGACCATCGTATATTTCGCACAGCTGTCAACAGCCATCTATTGTCACGTTCTAAAAGTAAACTCAAATTCTAAATGATTCGCTTAAATGAAATTTGATTTAATCTGCTTTGTCGAGATGGGCTCAACAAAAGCCGTAAATGGTAAATGAAATGTGAAACACAAAGCAGGGGCCATCTGTTTCAACACCTGCTGAAGGCCGCAGTAATATGTCAGCCATATGGATGTTACAGATTTACACAAACTTCAGGTCCAATCGTGGCAAAAATTCCCGATAAGACTGAATGAAATTCATTCTGACCACTAGCTGGAGTTCCAGCAAAAGCGGACATTAGTATAAATTTAAGGCCCACGTACACTGAAGTCTTAATTATTGGCTAACTGACTGTCTCGTGTATCCAATGTTGGATGCTAAAATGCCGTACTTGGACTTGAATCAACCCTCGAGTGGTAAACGGTGGGATCTGGGCTGATTGCGGATCTGGACAGTCCCTCCAGGTCTGCCTGGACCCGTGTTGGCCCCAGCGCTGCGGCTTCTGTCCAGGCATGGCACCGGGCTATCTTTGGGTCCCGAGCACACCAGCTGCTATCTGCACGTCACAGACAGCTGTATTTGAATATTCATACAGAGCGCAGACTTGGGTGTTTGTGTGAGTCCACATGGTGTGCCGGCAAAAGAAACCCCAACGTTATAAAAGTAAAAGAAGTGTGAATAAAAGCCCTTCTACCTCTGCATCTGAGCTGTGGTCAGGACCGGAGCATTCAGCTGGAAATCCAGTTGTTAATTAATCAGTTCGGTCTAACTGGGAGCTATTGTCCCATGCTGGCTCATTAACTATGTTTAATTATATTTTGAGCTTTTCATGTCTGACGACAAGTGGACTGAGGAGCAGCTGTGCGTGTTTTTATTAACCGGTGGCTACTTCTGTGGCTGCTACGCCTCGAGTTGTGCTGGATCCAACTTCTCCTTTGTCAGGCCGGTCTGGAGACAACCTCTCCGACTCGCATATTCACATTCAAAGCAATGGCCACCGCACCAAGCCATGGCTCCATCGGGCTTGGCCTGCTTTGTGAAGTGTTTTGGATGGAGTTTTGGTGGGTGTTTGTTCAAATAATTTGCTGGCTAACAGCAATAGAATTGGTGAATGTGCATTAGGGAATGTTTTGAGACTGTAGTTCTATAAAATCGGCAGATGGTCTTTACTTGCTTGCCTGAATAAGTGGAGTGAACCAGTGGGCACACAGAGGGAGATTTGTGGGTAAACTGTTTTACCTCCCCTCTCTTTGTTTTGTAATGAGGAAGGCAAAATGGTTGCTCACTGCTGACGGACAATGGCTCAGCCTTAATGAGAGAGAAGTGTTTTGGCGCTGCCAATATAATGAGGATGAAGTGCAGCAGCTAATCATTGCAGCCATCTGAAGGTATCAAGGCCAGCTTATATTTAATTTAGCGTCATAACACAAAACTGGTTAGATGTGTACAATTAAAAAAAAACTCAAACAATCGGTTTGTGTAGCAAAGTGAAATGGAAAAGGGTGTGTGTTATCAGTTCAATAACCAGTGTTAGGCAGGTTGATCCATCCCAGGACTGTAAAACTGAAGGGTTACAGAGTTTTATTTGCTCACATAGACATGATATAGCTCTCATCTGCTGTCTGGCCCCATGTTCATCTTGAGAACTTTTAAAGTTGACCCAGAAAGATAAGCTGTGAAACCCACTGGTGGCCAGAGCTTCGGTTCTGATGAAGATCTCCTGGGCGGCCATGTTTGTCTGCCGGGTGTCTGTCATTACTAGAGGGAATGTTTTGTGTGGTCCCTTTTGTGTTCTCCAACCACACCACCGATAACGTTTAGAAAAGATTGAGGCAAAGTGTCAAAGATGTCCAGTGGTCTAATAAAAAAAATTAATATAATAGGAAGGGTAGTAGCAGTCAAGAACGTACTTGTCTGAATTCTCCATATGATAAGGACAGGGGCTAATGCTTCCTTAAAGATCTTTAAATGATCATCCTGCAGTTCAGACTTGTCGGACAGCGAGAAACACTCTAGAATGGACAAAACAACCAAAAAATGGACACATGGGACTATTGAGTGCACGATTCCTGTTTCAAGCAAGAGCAGAAAAAAAAGGCTGCATGGTTTACTGTCGAATGAAGGAAACTCCTCTTCTCCCAGAAGAAAAAATTCTTTGTCATTTTCTATAATAAAATGGATTAGCCACAGAAACATGATAGACTTTCGGTTTATTAGAGGCCTGATTTTGAGCAGAACACACTCAGAAACACAGCAAGGCTTTGCTGTACTGGAAAGCCGTTGCCCTAAAATGTAATTTCTGTATAGCAAAGTCAGTCTAATTGTAATTCCTGCAGGATGTGATTGATAGAAAATTGTACTGACATAATTAAGATG